TGTAGGAATTTGAAGAAGAAAAACAAAGGTGTGGAATAGTCACTGGGGAGAATGGCAGAGCCGGACTGCCAGACAAGTGCAGGGGGACTGCCAGGAAGCGTGGAGATAAACCAGGCGCAGCAGGATGCTTCCATATCACAAAGCAACAGCAAACACACTTAACAGCACCCTGTTAAAATCAGGAACGGGACAAGGATGGCCAAAACGCTGCTCGTATTTCAATACTAATCTCAGGGCCTCCTTAGTACAATACACCACGAAATAAAACGTGTAAAAATGAAAAAGGAGACTCAGGTCCTTATCTGCAGGTAATATAATAGCCTACTTGAACATTTCAGTTGAAGTAACTGAACGCTAGTTAGAACTAACGAGAGAAGTCAGCAAGTTGCCTGGATGCAAGGGTTATTAACGTTCAGGAAAGAAAATAGCCCAGAATATATTTTTTTCACCCTGCTCTTAACTATGTGGCAGAAGACAAGTAAAGCAGTTGTTGCCACAAAGGCACAGCTCTCGCCCCGTGGGTCTGCCACCCACCAGACCTCAGTACAGAAACAGGACCACAGACCAGTCTTCCGTCCCAGCCCATGATCTCAGGAAGAGAACAAGGCGAGAGCACTCTACTTAAGGCCCAACACAGCCCTCAATGAAGAAAAAACAAAAATGCATACAATACCTGGAAGGGCACCTTCTAAGAGTACAATAGTTCTTTGAAATGGTCACAAAAAGCGGACAAGAACTTTGCAATTTAAAAAAGCACAAACACTTATTTTTTTAAACTCCTGTCTGCTGGAGCAAGCCGTGTGTGACCTTGTTCAAGTTACCCGGCCTGCCCGCGCGTCAGTTTTCTCGTCTGTAAAATGGGCACACTATGCAGTTGAGGTAATTCACGTAAAGAGTTGAACACAAGGTCTAGTTGGTGGTAGGTACTCCATAAATGCTAGTGGTAAGAATTAATATTAGGAGCCAGGCCGCCTGGGCCAGCCCTTTCTCCCCCTCGGAACTGCTTTCCCCGGTTCCTCGCTGGGCCTGGACTGGGCCGGCCCGAGCAGATGCTCGCCGGCCGCGCGGCTGCGCCCGCCCGCAGAGGAGCGCCAGCCCGAGATTCGGACCCCGGACTCCGCCCTCGAGCTTGGTGTTCTGCTCCGTGAAATGGGCACGCGGATGCGGCCGTGCCCACCCCTCACCCCGGCTGCTCGAGGGCGACGGGCCGCGGCCGGTTACCTAAGGAGGGGCCCCGCCGGGGGGGGGCTGGGGGTCGGGCTCGCGGTGCGCCTCTTCGGGACTTCGGGCTTGCGGCTCCGGCGGCGCGGGCCCATGGCGGGCGCCGAGGGTGGCTGCCCCGCGGCTCCTTCTCGGCCTTCGGGGTCCGGGGACAGAGGCTGGCGTCCGGGAGAAGCCCGGGAGCGTCCTGGCCGCGTGCCCCGGCGGGGTGCGTGCTCGGCCGCTCCCGGCGCCTCCGCGGTTCCAAGTTCCCGCACCACTGATTCACTGGCGGCGTTTTTTAAAACCCGAATTCAGCAACTCTCAGTGGCTGCCTCTGGAACGCCCCTGGCGCAGAGCGACTGCGGAGAGGACTAATCAGAGCACAGGACGGAAGGCTAGCGGCGCGCGGTGATAAGAGGAGAGCGCGGGGCTGTGGCGGTTCGACGGTAGGAATCAGCCAATGGGAACTTGGAGAAATGAAGGGAGGCGGGAGCTTCTCCCGCCTTCTGCTTGCTTGTAGTGGTGCTCATTTTTGAGTGCCCAATGGTCCAAAAGGGAAAGCTCTATTCTGAAGATGTAGACGGTGAGTTAGTAGAACACGTTTCTCTAGAAAAATCACTTTGCTCAGACATTTTATGTTTTGCCCTGTCACCCCTGAGGTGGCTTTTAAACAAGAGGAGGCAGATTCACACGAGAATGTGACAACCACATGTCGCCCCTGTGACCCTCCCAGGAACACCCCACGAAAATGGTTCAGAAGCCAGTTTAACTGCATGGACGTTATTGATGACTGGGGTCGCGGGGCAGCCAGGATCCGGGCTCTGGATCACACTCTCCAGCGCTGCAATGGAATCCTCCTAGAGAAACGACCCCTTTCCTTTCTCTTTACTATCGAGGATAGTACGCATTCAGGTCAAATGTACATCTGGGTAGTTAGAATAAAGGGAATTTTTATTTTCCACACGTTTTCTTGCATTTCCTCAACGTTCTACAGTTAACACGTAATCAGGGGAAAATGTCATTATAAAATCAGTGATTTCATGGAACCCTTGTTCACTGGTGGGAATGTAAAATGCTGCAGCCATAGTGGAAAACAGTATGTTGACTGGCCAAAAAAACTAAATGTGCAATTACCATATGATCCAGCAATTCCACTTCGGGGTATACACTCAAAAGCAGGGACTTGAACAGGTATTGGTACACTAATGCTCACAGCAATGTTACCCACAACAGCCCCCAATGTCCAAATAGATGAATAGATAAGCGAAATGTGGTACTTACATACAATGGGATATTATACAGCCTTAAAAAGGAAATGACACGTTACAGCACGAATGAACCTTGAAGGCATTATGTTAAGCAAAGTAAAACAGACACAAAAGGAGAAATACTGTATAATTCCACTTACATGAGTCCACTTTCACGAAATTCATAGAAAGTAGGATGGTGGTTGCCAGGGGCCAGGGGAAAGGAGGAATGGGGAGTTAGTGTTTGATGGGTATGGAGTTTCAGTTTGGGAAGATGAGGAAGTCTGGAGATGGTGTGATACTGCACAACAATGTGCACGGACTCAGTGCCATTGAACACTTAATAACGCTCAAAATGGTCAGTTTTAGGTTGTGTGTATTTTACCACAATTTTTAAAAGGAGGGACAAAAGGGGGCACCTGATTGGTTCAGTCAGGAGAGCGTGCGACTCTTGATCTTAGGATTGTGAGTTCAGGCCCCGCATTGGGCATGGAGCCTACTTAATTAAAAAAAAGGGGGGGGCGGGGGAGGAAAAGGAGCAAAGTAAGGAAGGAAAGAAAAGGGAAGGAGCTGTACCTGGGGATACTCAGTGGGTCCACTGGTGGTGGGGGGAATGGGGTGAACAGCCTGGTCTAGAAGACCCACTCTTTGGTGGTGCCTTATGCGACAGAAGATCCGAGAGCCAAGGGCTCTATAATGTGAGCCTACTCTTTGATTGGCTCTTGTATTCATCCTCTCCACCGTTTCTCTAGTTCAGACTCTAATTATAATCAAATGTTGTTTTACTTGTCTCTACCTTTAGTGATCTTTCCAAACAGCAATTTGGATCACGTCACTGCCTTGCCTAAACTCCCCATGGTACTCTACGGTCTACAGATTGAGTTCTGATCCCTCAGCAAAGTCTAAAATGTACAGCACCATCTGGGCGCCTGCCCACCTCTCTGACCTTGACCCTGGCCACTTTTAGTGTTGCGTGCTTATTGCCAGGCATACTGGTCTCCTTACCTACAGTTCTTGAATACATCACTTGCATGTTTCTATGCTTTTTACAAGCTTCTCCTTTCTCCAGGAATACCCGCTCCCTCCAACCCCACCGGCCTGGGAGACTCCCGGCTCATTCTGCAACACCATTCTGATACAGAGTGGTACTGCCTCCCCTGTATCTCAAAGGCCTCTTATGCACGTCATGCTGTGCTGGAATTCTTTCCTTCCACATTCATCTTCTGTTTTCTTTCATGGGCCCACAGTCCTTGGGGCACATCAGTTCTCAGCACAGTTCAGTAAATTCTGGGATAGTAATCCTTTTACTAAAGACTCTTGGACAAGTGTTCCTAATGAAGAAGGGTGATTTATGAACTTTTATAGCTAGGGGAAACTCCTTGCTGACTTTTACGTTTTGAAAGGATGTAGTTAACGTAAGGCCAGAAGGGTTCTGAACCAAGGCAACTATGAAGCGAGGTCAATCTGTAAAGCAGGTCAGGCAGGTGTACATATTTGGCAATGCCGAGAACCTCTCCTTTTTATAGGTAGCTAAGGTCTTGAGAGGGTGTCCAAGGTCACCCAGCCAAGGTAGAGGTGGGGCTGAGACACAGCTCTCTGACTTTGGATTCTGCTTCTTTCCTCTATACGAGGTGGCCCTTCGCTCCACTCCTCCTCCTGTCCTCAGCAGGGGTCAGAGCTTCTGACCTCTTTGAATGCTGTTTGCTTGTTAAAGTAGCAGAGACCTTTGGACAAACTGAAGACAAAACAGAACCACTTGGCTTGGTCCTAAATCTCTGCCTTGTGGGCAGCTTCCTGGAGGAGAGGAGCCTGAGAGCTACTCCAGGTCCCGGATGGCAGTCCTGCAAGAAGCCCCTGCCCCCCCCAGCTCTCCCAGGACCACACTGCGAGGGGGATGGACTGAGCAGTCCACCACAATGCAGACGCTTAAATTGAACGTCAGTTTGAACCGATGTTTACAGAAGTCTGTTATCAGTCAATTCTGATTTGGGGGTTCAGAACCTTCACACCAAACTTCCACCATTCAGGACCCCCTTACTCCACTGAAAATACTCCCCACAACCCTCCAGCTTCAGTGAGAGTAGTGGTCCTTACCCTCCCACCCACATGACCAGCAAAGCCTCGGGAACTCCCCCTCCAAAGCATCCTTGACAACAGGAGAGAGTGAACCTACTGTCACCGTAAAATGTTCTCGAGGCATCTTGCTGTCTTAAAATAGATGGAGATTTTACACTGGCCTCCATGATGGTGAATTTTAATAAAACCTTTCTTCCCCTCTGAGCAAGACCGATGCTCTGTGCTGGGCCTCTGCTGGGACTTCCGTGCCCCTGGCGGGCCACCCTGGTGGGCAGCGCAGCCTTACAGGACGCTCCACTGTGTGTTGACACTTTCAGGCACCTTCAATTTATTATCTTATGTAATTTTCATGCTCATTCTGCAAGATGGAGGCTGGTTTTCCTATTTGGGAGATGTGAAGACCCAAGCTCCAGAGGTAAAGTGATTCACCCTGGTCAGTGGCAGGCCTGATGTTTAACCCTTGCACTCCTTCCCTCTCATTAAAAAAAAAAAAAAAAAAAAGATAAAAAAAGAGCTTACACTGCTCATTTCCCTTTTGTTTTTAAAAATAAAGCCTAAAACATTCTAAGGCCCCAGCTTTTTGGACAGGGCAGCTGGAGTCCCAGCACACTCACTCTCTGATTACACACTGTTCCCTGCAGAAGCTCGGGGGCCCCTGGGACTTGGAGCTGCTGATAGGGAGAGTCCCTCCTCACCCAAGAAACCGTAATAACCTGCCGATTCCCACACTGCCTGAAGGCTTTGCTTGTCAAATATCTCTTCCCCCAGAATCTATTTTAAGGAAGGCATTTGGTGTTTTCTTTTATGATGGAGCTGCCCAGAAAAATGGTCTGAGGCTCCAGAAACTGCCACGGAGCGAGGAACTCAGCAATGAAGGGCTGCTCAGCTCCCTGGGGTCCCCAGTGCCAGTCCCCTCCCTTTGTGGTGGGGTTACAGGGAGGACAACAGCACATGAAGCTTCTAACCCAGCCATGGGAAAACTGCCCAGAGAAACCAGTAAGGTGGGTGGGGCTGTAGGTTTGGAATCAGGCAAACCTAGCTTGGAAAGCTGGCTCCGTGAGGAAGTCACTTAACCCTCTCTGGGCCAGCGGCTTCCTCATCTGCATCCACCTGTCAGGCTGTTATGCAAAAGTTAAGCCTTTAACACACGCCTAGGATACCAGAGTTACTTTAAATGGTGGAGTCCCGGGAAATTCATCGCCCTGGAGGGTAATCGGTGGAGTCAGGTTGCTGAGGGTGGGGCTGAGGTCCGTGTGCTCCGGATCCCAGCCTGCTGCCAGATCGGATCACGTGGCTGCACGGCTAGAGTCCACAGCCAGAGAGCCCTTTGCCAAACAACTCACATCTCTGGGCCTCAGTTTTCTCATCTTTAAAAGGGAAGGTGAAGAGATCATAAAAGCTGCTATTGAGGGCTGCCTGGAACTCCCCTCATGATCTCTGCCAGGCAGGGAGGCCTTGAGTGTGTGAGCAAGGACAGCGGGACTGGCATGGGGAGGAGGCGCCAGGGGCAGAGGGACAATTCCCAAGAAGGGGCGGCTATTACTCCTTTCCCACAGAATGGGCCCAGCTGAGTCTGGAAAGCACCGAAGCCACAGCGTCTACACCCGCTGCTTTCTACAGGAGGACGCCGAGGCCCAGAGCAACTAGGTGATGGGCTGAGGGAACTTTCGCTGAGTTTATGGGACAGCCCAGCTAAAACTTCGGTCTCCAGACAGGGTTAGGGAATACCCTACACGTTTTAGAAAATATGGTGCTTAGTTCTGGTTTGAATTTGCTCACTGACCTCTCTTCTTTGGAGAACCACGTTTAGCTTATGGTTCAGGAGGAAATCTTAGGGTTGTTAGCTCCTGCGATCCCACTTCATGATTTAGTGCTAGGGCTGCAGGGGGGGTGGTGGTGCTGGGGGGAGCCTGCCAGGAGTGGGTCACTGCACCCAGGCCCGTGGGGGATGCAGGGGGTGGTGACAGAGGAGGACCTGGGTGTCTGGTGGTCTTCTGTGGCAGCAGCTGCCCCGGGGGTCTGTGGGGAGGGGCAGGGTGAGGCCTTAGGGAAGGGGCGCTGGAGGCTCCCCAGCCCGTGTGGCCTCAGCCTCAGGGTGGACAAGGCGCATCCAGGTAGCAGCAGAGAACCCACAAGAGGCTCAGCTGGCATCGTTGATGGGAGTCCGAGAGCCGCCGAGCAGTCTCTCGTGCTCGCCCTCCTCTGCGGGGGGCCGGCCCCTGGACAGGCGGGCCAGCAGCGGCCGGTGCAGCCCGTTGTAGAGGGCGGTGCCCATCAAGAGGATGAGGAAGCCCAGGATCTGCAGCGGGTGGAAGGCCTCCCAGCCCAGCGCCAGGCTCAGGGCCCAGATGACGATGGTGCGCAGGCTGTCCAGCACCATGCGGGTGGTGGCGCTCAGTTCTTTGGTGACGCTGATGCCCGCGAAGTTGAAGAAGGCGATGCTGCTGATGTTGCCCAGCAGCGCCAGGGCGATGAGCGGTTGTCGGCCCACCTGGCAGAAGGCGTCCAGCGTGTCCTCCAGCGTCCCTCGCGGGTTTCCGCTGAAGGAGCCGGCGGGGATGTAGTACATGGGCACCAGCAGCAGGGAGAGGATCACGAAGCCGAAGAGGCCTGTGGGAGTGGAAGAAGTATGCGGCACTCTCTGCCCACCCCGAGATCCCCAGCTTAGCCCGCCCAGCAGGGGCTCCCCTGGTGTCCCTCCCGCCACCCCTCCCAGCTCCTCCCTCACACCTGCGCCTCCCTGCAGGGCCTGGGGCTGCCTGCTCATCTGGAATTCACAGCGGCCTGCTGAGGGGGCTCTAGCTGCCCTCTTCCGCTTTAATCGTGTTTTCTGTCTGGACCCAGAGTAAGACACGCGTTGTATCGTTACCAGTATATGTGTGCACAGGCACGGATACGCTTGTATGCGCACTTTCACAAACCAACAGCCACCCTCGCAATGTTCTCTGGCTCTTTTAAATTCTATGGTATTCATTTAAAAAAGAATGGCCGCTGCCGCCACTGCACTGCTCTCCCAAGTGTGGAAAAACACCGTTCTCTAATTCAGTGCCATTGGTCTGTGACCAGGAGCTGGATCTGAATGTAAATCAATGCGCTGCTCCATTCAGAAAGTCTTGCAAGGGAGAAAAAAAATGAGTGGATCCAAACAAACTTCTTGATGATGTGGTTGACTAACTAGTCGATGATCCAGCTGATTAACACTGTGCCAGAAGCCCTCGGCGCCCTGTGGGCCAGGCGCACACAGCTCCCTGACTGGCCCGCAGGCCACACTTGGCTAGGACTGCTCTAATCTGCCCTGCTGGTTTCATACCTTTAAAGCTTATCCGCTTTGGGAGTTACTTTCCTGCTCAAACACCCTTCGTGCTTCCAGGCGGCCTAGATGGCTTAGTTAGTGAAGCGTCCGACTCTTGATCTCAGCTCAGAACATCTCATGGTTCGTGAGATGGAGCCCCGCATCGGGCTCTGTGCTGGAAGCACGGAGCCTCCTTGGGATTCTCTCTCTCCCTCTCTCTCTGCCCCTCCCCCACTGGCATGTGCATATGCACACTGTGTCTAATAAATAAATAAAACATGAAAAAATAAAAACCTTTGGTGGTTCCTCCCTGCTCATCACGGAAAGTCTAATCAACTTCCCGGACGTTCAAGGTTCTCCGGGATAAGACCCTGACCCATTCACTTCCTGATCACTGTCCCAACATCAAACCCATATCTCACCCAACTACTCCTCACCGGTTTCCACATTCATGGCCAGCTCCCCGCGTCTTCACTTTGTCTGGAGTTCCCTCCTTCCCACTCCTGTTGCAGCTCAAATGCCACCTTCCCTGTCCTAAAGACACTCAGATGTGCTTGGCAAGTGACACATCATTTGAGCACAAGTGGCCTGAGCCCAAATGCGCTGTCTGGTCCTTTCTTGCTGGCCAACTCCTCTACAGTGGGGCATGTATCCCCTTCATCCTCCACCTCGGCCCCCCTAGCTCCTGGCTCTGTGCATGGCAGGCGTCAGAGTATCTGTCAACACACACGTGGTGAAGGGAGGGAGGAATGGGGGGGTCGGGGGTCACCCCCTCCCCGTGGACCCTGGCACCTTGCCCCGTGCTCCTGCTTGTGTGTCCCCTCCACGTGCTGCCCTCCGGGGTGTCCCGGCAGCAGCGCCCTGCTCCCAGCCCCCGTGCTCACATACCCTCAGTGCCAACTGCCCGCAGTGGGTGCACATTGTGCCTGTAGACGAACTTCTCCTCTAGCACCATCTGGATGGAGACGATGATCTGGGCCATGATGATCAACAGGTCCCCTGTGGGGGAAGTGAGCCAGGGTGAGACTGGGCTGCACGGGGTCGGGGGGCAGGGATGGAGGCAGGGTGGCAGGCCCAGTGCAGGGTTAGACGGCTCCCACAGGGACACAACCACCCCCACAGCCCCTGCCTTTTGCAGGGCACCATATAGTTTATGATGCAATCATGACAGTCCTATGCCTGGTTTCCTAGTCCCTGAGGGGTGGGGTAGCCCTGCAGGGCAGGCACTGTCACCACTCTGGGCCGAGGCTCCAGAAGGCCCAGAGGCCTGCCTGGGACTGCGAGTGGCACAACAGGGTGATAAGCAGGTCTTTTGAGAAGCACAAGCCTTTGTGACAGACATTTCTGGTTTAGTCCGTCCTCGGAGGACCAGAGGGGTCCCATCATCATAGAAGAGGCTGCAAGGCCTCCTTTCCGGGATGTGGGGATTACTATGATGATGACCTTCAGCACTCACGCCGGGCTGGGTACTTAGTAAACGCTCAAGAGACATCCGTTCCCTTCCTCTCACAGACCCAGTAGTTTGTGTGTTTATCATGGCACAGACCCTCTCCCTCCTGACCTCCCCTCCTTAGCCCACCCGTCTCTCATGCTGCTTGTGCCTCTGTGCACTCTATCCGCCACCTCGAGAGCAGGTGCGTGCCCAAGTCGGCCTGTAGGTCCCCCATGTGCCCTCACCAAGGGCCTGCCATACAGAAGAGCTTGCAAAAGTCTGTTGACGGACTCTGTGCTTGGCTCCCAGGGAGGACAGGACAGGATGGGCAGCCCCTGGGTCCCTGGCCCTTGTCGTACCTGTGATCACTTCGCTGAGCTTATGCTGATCATCATGCTTGCTCAGAAGGTCAGCCAGGCCGACGACCACCAGCCCCGCGATGGTGGCAAGGATGCCCAGCCACTGGCTCAGCGCCAGCCTCCGCCCCAGGAAGGCCACCGAGAACAGGCCTGTGAATATAATCACTGCTCCCCGCAGCATCTGGAAGCTGGACGCACTGGTCATGTTCAAGGCTAGAAGAGGAGAGACACACAATGTTAGCTCCCAAGGGCCGAGGCTATCTTTTCACTGAGGCGTCCTCAGGGCTGAAGACACACCTTGCACATAGTATGTACTCAGTAAATCTTGTGTGCGTGCGTGTGTGTGTGTGTGTGTAAGTCTGGGAGTGGGGCAGGAGTGAGATGAACTGGGGTGGGGGTGGCTGTTTCACCAGTGGCCCCTCGGGCCCTTCTCAGCCTGGCCCAGCTACTCACCCACATACATGATGCTGGTACCCGTCATGTCGCAGAGGGCTGGGGGCAGGAAAAGAAGGGGATTGAAGGGCTGCTGGGGATCCATGCTGCCCTCTGGGTGCCTCGCAGCTCTGCACCGGAGCAAGTAGAAGGCAGCCAGGCAGGAGAACTCTCCCAGGAACATGCCCACTGCCTGCAGGGGACAGAACCCTAGAAGTTTAGAGCTGGAAGGAGAATCACCTGTGACAAAATTTTAACACAGCCTTTCTTCAAACAAAAGCTTATCTATAACTTGATGCGTCCAACAGACAAAAGCAGAGCTACTGTGTGTGAAAGGCCAGACACTACCTCCTAGGTCTCAGCCCTCAGCTCTAGAAACATCCTGATGGGAACCTTAAGGCTGTGTACAGCTGGTCTGAAAACCATCAGGGTAGGCCAACCTCTGGTCAAGCTCCAGATTGAGAAACAGAGGCTCAGAGAGGGTTAAGAACTTACTTAAGGTCACAGAGCAAGTCTGCTGGCAGAGCTGGGGCTGAAATACTAGCCTCCCGCTTCCCAGCCTAGCAATAAGGTGCTTTCCATTTATGGTGTCTGCTCTATCCCAGAGGAGTCCGGGCTGCCCATGGGTGCAGAGCGGGCTTTGCTCCTGGGGTTGATGTTTTCCAAATGTGTCCTGACTTGGACGTGGGAGGGCTGGCCTTACAGCGTCCGGGGCAGGACTGCTCACCAGGACTTACGCAGGCCTTCCAGAGAGGGCTGTGCCCTCTGCCTTCTTCCACCGGCACTCACACCCTGGCGTCTGTTCTGGGGAGGGAGGGAGGGAAGGAGATGGTTCTCCCGGGAGCAGGGGAAGGCGCCACCCTGGGTCAGGAAGCAGCAGGGCCCGGTGGGCACACGTGACCTGAGGCCTGGGTGGTCAGAGGTGGGGAGGCAGGGACGGGGCTAGATACCTGAAGGAAGGGATGCTGGAAGCTGTGTTCCTTGCTCCCTCCGCAGCCCGGGGCCACAAAGTTGTCTGCCCACCTGCAGCGGAGAGAGAGAGAAGGTCAAATCCTCGGGCGCGTGCGGGCTCTGCAAGCCTGGCTCTGGGGCCTGTGGACAAGCTGGCTCCTCTCAGAGCCAAGAGGCCAGACTTAGGGGACTTGGCCCAGCATGAGACTCCTGCTCGAAGGGGCCGGATTCCACAGCACAAAGTCTTCATCTGGGACCGTGGACAGGAAGCGGGGGCCTAGAAACTTTTAGCCAAAACACAGCATTTCCTCAAACTGGGAATGTAGCCCCGCAGTACCTGTGACTTTGTCACACGCACAAGTCACAGTTACTCTCACCAGCCCATCGGAGTCCTTGCGGATACTGTGAAGTGCCAATTACATCCATCGCTACTACAAAATTACGGCAATTAGACCTACTGCTTATCATTTTGTGTTAAGAAGCATATACACACATATTACTCTATCACGAATAGGATTTTTCAATGTTCTGATAACTTTACTTCAACATAAGTGGCTTTTTCTGTAATCCTATCCTTTATCTGCATATTTTAAAACAACATTCCAGGCTTTACCAGACTGTCAAAGGGGCCCATGGCACGAAAAATACCAGGCGCCTGTGGTCTACGAGGGCATCTGGGCCCTGGGAAATGACTGTCTGGCAGAGAGCAGCCGGTCACCTTCATATCACCTGAAGGGTCTGGAGGGTCTTTCTAGCACTGACTGTAAAGCAGGTGGCAAGTGTGTGGCTCTAGCAGAGGGCACGCCCAGCCGGCACCCTGGCAGATGGCATAACCGAGTGTGGCGTGCTTCCCCAGCAACCCCAGACACAAGCCCAGGACCCCTCACGGCCCTGTGCCCTGGCAGCTACCGCCAATCATTCTGCACTGTCTGCCGTCCGTGCACTACAGCTCCCGCCCCTGAACTTCGTTTTTGCTGGGCTTTGTCGTGTCCCTGAGGTCTAGTCTAACTTCTTCCATTTGAAAGTCCTTTAGATATTTGGAGACTTTTCCACCTTCTTTTGAATCTTCTCATCTCCTGCCTAAAGAGCCACAGCTCCTCCTAACATTTTAGTCCCCTGGCTGCTGACTTCTGGAAGCGTGCAGGTGGGCCCGGGCCCAGAGCTGGGTGATCTGGCTTGGACTGAGCTTGGCAGGAGGGCACCCCCACCCCCCTCATGTTGCATATCCTGCCGTTCGTCGACATGGCTTCAACCGCGTCTGTCATACCACAAGCTGACTCAAGCCAATGCAGACCCAGGGCAATGTCCTGCGGGCCATGGACCTGCTCCTTGTGTAGCACCCCACGCATAGGTGGCGGCTGTCTGTAAACTGCAAGACCCAGGACTTTCTTTTTCTTAAATGTCCTTCCTTGCAATGTCTGACAAGAGCAACCACACGGGAGTACCTAGCCCTACTCTGCTGGCTCATTTCTGCAACAAGGCCAAGGTCCCAAAAGGTAAGGGGAGGCTTTTGTTTCCTGTGCCCTCCACAGTGCTACAAGTATGGGCCACTGGTTAGGGCCTGGGTGTGACAAAGATCCTGGCTAGCCCTGGCTTCTCTCTGCCCTGAGTTTGAGGAGGGGACCAGGGAGCTCTTTCCCACAGCCCGGGGCAAGGGCATAAGGCCCGGATGCTGGCAGCATGAAGGGCAGGTAGAGCTCCTGGGCAGCCGTGAGGGCGAGACCACATCCATTCACTGATCTGACCACACCCCAGGGCCAGTGAACAGAACAGGACTGTGGCAAACTTATCTCGCAGTGAATGAGCGGGAGACCCCGGCACTCCAGAGATGCCAACAGGGGCAGGTAGGAGGGCCTGTGGTTCTTGGGAATGGTGAGGGTCAGAGGAGAGCTGAAGGGTGGGAGTTCTGACAGGACTGGTTGGAAATGTAGGGAGAAATCTGGGTCAGGGGACCAGGCTGTGAGCAGTCCCAGTACCAATGTGGCAAAGAAAGCCCCCACTACAGAAACCACCGGCTCTCTGAGGTCTCACTTCTGTCCGATTCGCGGCAAGTTCGGGCTCTTGGATCCCCGGGCAGGAAGGACTACTCTCACGCTGGGAGGACCTGGGGGTGAGGCACCCAAGTGTAACAGAGGAGATGCGAGGAGGAGTAAAGAGGTTAGGCTTCACCAAGGTGTATAGCCAACTGCCCCAGGTCAAGTCAGAGATGGAAATTCCTGGAGCTGGAGCCAGGGCTCTGCCAGGAGGAATGAGGGAGGTCCTGCCAAGTCCGTGAAGGTCAGCCAGAAGCTCAGGGTGAGGGCATGCGTGCAAGCCCCTTCCTCATCATGGTACTACACCCAGCATACATGGTAGGCTCACGAAGTGCCCCCCCCCCCCCGCCTCGATCTAGGGGTAGAGCCATCTCCCGGGACTCCCCCTGGGTGACTGCCTATGCAGCTTCTAGCAACGACAACTCACATGTCTCACTGTGTGTTCCAGAGTCACTATCACTTAAGAGAGTGGAAGCTCAGCATCCAGCAACTTCTCTACCTCTGGACCCCCAGCTCCTGGCACATTACCATACGGAAGCTCCAACATTTTGTGGTCGGATAAATGGGACTGCCAGACTCCACCTAGCAAATAGGCAGGTACTACAGTCCAGAGGCAACGTCCTCTGGGTCCTAATTGCCCACTTGGGTGAGGTGCCACCTGCTGGTGGGGCCGGCCAGGCTTGTCCCCAGGGGTGGGCAGCGAGCGCAGAGCCGGCTGTAAGGCAGATGCTGAGCTCCCCCTCCTGCCCCGAAGGCCTTCTTTGCTTTCCCCAAGGGGTGGGTCTGCCTCAACAAGTTGGGGCTGGCAGTGTTCCCAGCTTGGGAAATGGAGTCCTCTTGTATCTGAAGGCTCAGGGCAGGCTTGCAGCCCAAGGGATTGGGTGTCAGGACCGGCGGCCCTGCCCAGCCTCTCTGCAGGCAGGGAAGAGTTCGGACCTGCAGGTACTTAGGGCTGGAGTCAGGCTTCTCGTCCTGGCCCTGAGACAGGCTTCAGCTCACTGTGTCGGCACAGGTGGACCCCAGACAGCACAGAACAAGAGACCAAAACCAGCTCCAGTTCGTGGGGGGATGACAGCAACGGCCCCTAGGGTGGGGCTGTTGTTTGCAAAACGCTTCACTACATGTTTTTAGGAAGGTACAAGTCACTGAGCACTGACTTCGTGCCAGGCCTGTGCTGAGCACTTCACGTACTTCATTTTCCATGCGGGGACTTGCGGGCTTGGGGTGGAGGGGTGGAGGGAGCCGGGCTCAGACTCACACAGTTAACAAAGGGCCGGGTCTAGCGCCAAACCCAACTGCTCACATGCTTTCTGAAGAGGCGGCAGGATATGTGGAAAGCTCACGACTTTTGAGCCTCATAGGTAGGACAAGTGAATAGGTTTCTCATTTATAAAATAGGGATGATGATGCCAATACTGATGAACTGTCAAAAGCAATAAATAATAGGAGATATGTAAGAGGTGGCCCATGGCGGGTAGTCAATGAAAGTCCTTTTCTGCCCCTTCTCCCTCTTTCCCCTCTACTGAGCAGGAGTCTCACCCCTCGTGTTGGGTCAACATTGCCTGCTCTGCTCCAGCCCTAAAGCTGGAGCATTCTCTGTGACCCACCCTGCTGGCTGAAGCAGGGGCGGCTGGAGGGGCCACAGGGCCAACACGTGCCGATACAGGAGAAGAAACGCAACCATCATCTCAGGAAGCACCTTATTTGACAAAGAACCCGGGGACCAGAGAGGGCTGGCTTGAGGGACACGGGGCTCCTCGGGTGCAGAGGAAAGGCCAGCACCCAGGGGCCTCCTCCTCCTCCAGTTCTGTGCTCCTTCCTCAGCACCTGAATTTCTCCCATCACCTTCTTATTCCAGATTCTTCCCACTCCCCTCGCTGAAGTGGAGAGAGGTCAGCTCTGCAGATGGGCCCTCTCTTCTCTCTAGATACTGTACCCTAAGGGAAAGCCATGGTCTCATGGGCAGGAGGCCTGTGGGACCCCGCAAGGGTCCGGCTCACGCTACATGAGTAGACGCCTTCTGTCGGCGGAGACTGGCTTCTTTTAGACGGGGTCTCGGCAGGCCGGTGGAGGGGGCGGTGTGGGCTCCCCGTGCTGGGGGTGAATCACTCTGGCATGGCCAAACTCAAAGCTCAGCATTCTGAGAAGCGTGCGCAACCACGTGAGGGCAGGGGGTGCGGACAGACTGAGGATGTGGCTGACGGAGCTCCCTCGGCCTGACCGGTTGGGCGTCCCATCCCCCTCACAATCTCTGCCACTTCCTCTGGCGCCCCCGGCTTGTCAAGCCTGGTGAGTCGGCTTCTTTCTCCTGCCTGGGATCTTTGGAAGGGCCACAGAGCTTCTCCACTCTCTGGGTGTCACAGCGGTTGGTAATAAACAGTCACGAGCCCTCTCATCTAAGTGTTGCAAAATCTTCCTCAGTGGATCCCTTGTTTCTGGGTGGAAGGTGGGGAAATGACACCCATTTTACAGATGAGCCTGAGGCTTGGGGAGGCCCCATGACTCACCTAATCCCATAGCTTCCAAGCCCTGCAACTCTTTCCACTCTACATACGGCCCTCCTGAGGCTGGCAAAGGAACCCTCTGAAGCAATTATCCAATGCCAGCTCGTGGGATTTAAGGGTAGGGACAGCCACCAAGGCAAAAGTTAGAGCTGGCACAGAAAGGCCATATACAAGTCCTTCCCTAATAGAGGCCCGGTGGTTCCAGGCCTCCTGCCACCTTCCTTCCTGGCAGGGTTCCTGCACCAGGGGCCTGACTTTGGAGGGGAAGTCACCCCCCCCCCCCCCCCCCGCCGCCATCCACCGGCCCCTCCCGGGCCGGGTGAGCTTCCCAGTCTGTGGCGGTTTAGGTGGCGATCTGAGCCTTACTTAGTGAGTGTCTACTTGCACTGGCTCTTTCCATGCAGCCCCCCCAGCGGGATTCAGGAAAAGGGGGCTCTGAAAGGGACAGGACCCCACAGGCAGGCTCTGGTTCAGGCAGACAGCCCTAAGCAGTGCTGAGCGGGGGAAACGTTTGGTCTGCAGGAGACACATCAGCAGAAGGTCCCGGTGGGGGGGGGGGGGGTGGCGAGGGCAGCCAAGAAAGGAGAAGCAGCTACTTCACCGGGAGGGGCCCTCTGCCAAGGCCCGGGGACAGGGCCACGGGGCCAACCTGATGGGCGGCTTTCCCTCCTGTGGGTATGTGCCCCCTGCTCCGGCCCCAGCCAGGGCAGGCCTGTCTCCTGCAGCCTCCCCAAACCTGCCGAGCGGGCAGTGGCCCCCTCCAGGGGAGAGCTGCCCTGTGGTCCCAGGACAGCAGGTGGCATGTGCTCAGCCACTTCCATCTCTACTATGTTTAGTCTCCCCTGGATGCCGGGGACAGAAACGTGCTCCTTTTAACAGGCCAAGGAACCGAAAGAGGCTACTGGAGATGCAACGTGGGAACCGAGAGCAGCCCCTGGCTCCGGGGGGGAGTGGAGGGCCGAGGGCCAAAAAAGCCGGGTAACAGCAGGATCCCCTGGGCTGGGACGCAGGCCTGTTGCCCAGTCCGGGAGGTCGGGCACTCTGGTGGCAGGGAGGGGAGCTGCCACTTGTGGGATCACAACTCCCAAGGGTCACGCTTGGCTGCTCTTGCCTGCGGAGATACGAGAGGAGATCCCCAAGGAAGAGCGGCTTTGGGGTTCTGCAGCTGTGGAAGGACTGGGCTAAAATGCGGAGACCCAGGATGGGGCGCCTGGGTGGCTCAGTCGGTTAAGCAGCCGACTTCGGCTCAGGTCATGATCTCGCGGTCCGTGGGTTCAAGCCCCGCATCAGGCTCTGTGCTGACAGCTCAAAGCCTTAAGCGTTTCAGATTCTGTGTCTCCCTCTTTCTCTGACCCTCCCCTGTTCATGTTCTCTCTCTCTCTCTGTCTCAAAAATAAATAAAAAAGAATGTTAAAAAAAAAAATGCGGAGACCCAGGTTCCGGTGCCCACTCTGACACCCGTCAGCTGGGCCACAAAAAGAAACTTCTCATGGGACCCTGACCACAGATCGTGGGGATGAGAATGGGTGATTTCTACGTTTCTAACAACTTGAAATGCCCTGAAAAATGAATAGAGAAGTCTCTAGCCTCATCCCATATTGACGATGAAGAGCCCGGATTCTTGAGCCAGATCACTTTGGTTCAATTATCAACTCTGCCATTTGACAGCTGACTTGAACTTGGGCAAGCAATGCCACCTTTCCATACCTCAGGATCCTCATCCGGGGACAACGAGCGTATCTCCTTCACAGGCTGGTTACAAGAATTCATTAAACTAACACGTGAAAGGTGGCCGCAGGAGGACCGGGCACGGGATGCTCTCTGGATAGCAGTTGCTTAGTTAGCACTGGCTGTGGTCACATTCTAGCCAGTCTGTCCCTGTCAGAAACTGCAGGTCAGAGTGTGAGTTCAAATTGCTAATTCCCATCAGGATGTACATAGCTGCTCTCTTACATTTTCTCTCTGAGGGTGTCCTTCTCACAGTCTGGCCTTAGAACAATGTTTGGGGCCCAATTCTGGGGGTCCATCTGAGGTAGGGAGGCTCCTGAGAGACCCCACATCAGGTGACAGGATCAAAGGCTGGGTCCTCACATGGGAGTCTCTTTCCTGTCTCTGAGGCAGCCTCCAAGGGCAAGGCCTCCTGGGGCCAAGGATTTCCCTGGCCTCCTACCTGACCAGGAAGGAGCTGAGTTAGCACAGTTTACCCCAGTAGTAACTGGCAGTCTCCACTCTCCTTGGGGACAGAAGCCCTGGCAGACCCACGGCCACTCTGGGAGCACTTGGCTAAGGCCTTAGCTAGTACGACAGATGGGCAGACAGACAACTTGGCTGCTGTGTTCAGATCCTGAGAATGGGAGCTCTCATGTCAAGTCACCTTTACAGTTAAGGGCTCAGCAAAAGCAGTGACCTTCAGGAGGCCACAGGGCCCAGGAGACCAGCTCAAGGCACAGACACAGCCAGCCATAACCCAACCAGAGACAGTGGGGTTCACCCAGAGCTTTACTTCCTTTGGAGAAGGGAGGACACCGTGGTTGCCAGGCTGCCCCTTCACCTCTGATTCTAACCATCTCAAGCTTTCTTTTGGTTGCTCCAGCCTCCTTCCCTGAGTCCAGACAGTGCCTTACACCCTGTAGGTACCTTATACATGTCTGATCAACTGAACAGGATGCCTCTCTTCCAAACTCTCCTCTGGAACATGTCTCATATCACTGATGGAGTGTGCTAGGAACAAACACCTCAAAAATGGATAGGAGATGACTGCCCCCCTCCCCCAGCCCTCAGGGGGCCTGGAACACAGCCCAGAGGGTGACTGGCATGCCTCCCCCTTGCTGTGGAGACTGGCAGGGCCCAGCTGGAAGTGAGGTCTGGCTGGGAGAGGGCCACTGTCCACTGTTCTCTACGTGCACCTTGGAATCGGTTCAGAGAGAGGCCAGGATCTGGGTACTGGGGCTCTGAGATGATAAACAGAGGGGGCAGGAGAGCCCTGTCTTGAGGCGGGGGCAGAGCAAGAGACAAAGCACTGCTCAGACAAGGGGCTGCCTCCAGGGTCTCCTGTGCACTACAGAGAGGAGGCCGTGCTCAACCCCTCAGTCTCATGACAGCCCTGGGTCCTCAAGCCCTAACCTCCTCGGGACTATTACCTCTGTCCCACAAGCACCTCACCCTCATGCATCAGAGCTGAACTGCCCACCTGCCTTCCCTGTCTGGGTTAATGACACTTGTATTCTCGCAGGCAGAAACCCTGGACTGGTCATTGTCTCTCCATCCTGTGGGTCAGGGTTTATGGCTTCATTCTGTACCTGGTCTCTCCCACCTGTCCCTTCCTTTCCTACCTCCCTCATCTGTTATGTAGCAGGCTTGGAGTGGTATTCCCTGCACCAAAACTACTCTTCATCTTGACCATCAGGTTCATCATACCATTTGTAACCTGTCACTTTCTGCTCAAAAGCCCTTCTTTGATTGTGGGATTAAGATGCGGCCTGGGCATTTGGGGCTGGTTATAACACTCTTCGATGTGACCTTGCTCTTGCCTGGCTCGACGTCCAGCCACATGTAGATATCCCACCGAAATTTCAAGGCCCAGCTGTAACCTCTCCTCCGTGAGAAGCCCACGGGGCACCCCTTCTCTGTCGCCTCCACGCTCACGGATTACTCGGCCTGCATGGGTTCTACCGCAGCCCGTGTGCACAAGTGTGGGAGTGCCCCTTCACCCCACCTCTGCCTACAGCTCTTGGAGAGCCTGCCTCCGACCCCACCGTTGGGCTCCAACCCTCCCGTTTAAAGACGAGGAAACTGAGGCACGGAGACGGAAGGTGACTCGCCGGGATCAAACACTCAGCGATCAAATGAGCCGGGGCTTGGGTCCTCCAGCTGGCGACCCGGCCTCTGTCCATATTTCCCCGGGCCTCGCGCCCCTTGGGGGCCCCCAAATCGCTTGAACCGACCGGAGAAACTAGGCGAGCCGGTGAAGCCGGGAAAGGAGAGCCGAGGAAGGGGAGGGCGAGGAAGGTGCGCGGGGTCGCTGGCGCCCTCGCGGGCCGCGGCAGGTCCGGCTGAGCCCCCTCCCCTTCCAGCCAGGCCCGGACTCACTTGGCCGAGAGCGTGTTGATGGAGCCGGTGACGAGCATGAGCCCGGCCAGGAACAGCTGGTATTTGGTCCAGGCCATGGCGGCGAATGCAGGGAGCGAGAAACTGCAGGGACCCCCGGGACCTCCGCGCTCGCTCCAGGTAGCAGCTCCCGACCCCGTCACCAGGGGGTCTCGGGAGCGAGCGCTTCCGGGCCGGGCGTCACGTGACCAGTCCAGGTCCCGCCCCGCGCCGTGGCCCCGCCCCGCCAAGGAGGGCGCCGGGCAGCCGTGCGGAGGCGGTGCGGAGCCGCCCGGGGCGCGCCGGTCCCCACAGCGTGACGGTGGCAAGTTACGGACCCAGGTCTCCCCATTTGTAAAAGCGGTGAGAATGCATTGTTGATGTCGGAGCGTTTTGTAAACCGTTTAAAGAGATTGAGCTGAGCGCTGTCAGAGACGAACCACAAAGTGGAAACGGCCTCTTGGGAGTCTCGTCTGAACAGGGAAGCGCCCGGGAGGCCTGGAACGTGTCCCTAAGATGTGTTGTTCACATCTTCCAGAAAAGTGGCGTAGTCCACTTTTGGTCCCCGGGAGACCATGTTATAGCTGAGGAAACCAAATCAAAGCAAGTCAAGTGATTTGCGTCATTACGATCATGCTAGTGAGTGATGGAGTGGGGGGTTTGCACGGGGGTTCTTCAGTCTCCTTCAGATCCCTACCTCTGACACAGCCCCTCCACCAGGGCTCCCTACGTGCATTCCCAGGATGCTGCTCTGAGGCATCCGCGGCAGAAAGACCTAGGTTTGGTTGCTGAGGATTTCCGGCTTTTAAGATCCTAGTCCTAGTTCTCAGCGCCCCTCCCCACCCCCCATGTCCTCTGTTCTCTTCTCCAGGCCTCTGGTCTGCACCTCATGCCTGTCACATCACATGCTGGAGTGCAAAGCCTTGGGGAAACTGCTTAAGACCCAGGGGACACATTTTCCCCATTACTGCAGATCTTGTTACTGTCTGCCAGCTCCTCCTTCTTGCCCTAACACTGCATTGAACTTGTGAAAATGGCCAGGGTTGAATCAGAAAAACTCTGAAGGGACTGCACCAGACCTCTTTATTGCAGGAAGACCTGAAAGAGAAGGTGCATGAGTGGGGTCCTGGACAAAATGTAGGAGGTTACTAGGGGAAGGGCTTTCCTGGAGGAGGGAATGCCAGTGGGATGGCACGGAGGCACGAGTGGACATGGAGTGTGTCTGGGTCCCACAGACCTGCCAGGAACTTTTCTGCTTCCTTCACTGGAGCCTGCTCTCTTCTGTCAGCGGGAGACGTGCAGATACAGAGGAGGGTTCTTCCCAGCTTCTTGTCCTCAGTAATGCAACTAGTTTCATGTGACTTATATATTTTATTTATTTATTTGTTTGCATGATTATTTTCGTTTTTTAAAAATGTTTGTTAATTTTTGAGTGAGAGAGCATGAGCAGGGGAGGGACAGAGAGAGAGAGGCGGGGACAGAAGATCCAAAGCGAGCTCTGGGCTAACAGTCATGAGCCCGATGTGGGGCTTGAACTCATGAACTGTGAGTTCATGGAGATGATGACCTGAGTTGGAGTCAGGCGCTCAACTGACTGAGCCACCCAGGCACCCCCATTTTACTTCATTTTGCAAGTTTATTTATGTAAGTAATCTCTACACCCAACGTGGGTTTTGAACTCACGACCCCAAGTCAAGAGTCGCATGTTCTTCTGACTGAGCCAGCCAGGTGCCCCATCATGTGATATTAAAAGGAATCCATGCAGTTATCAAAATATATTCACCGAGACGCTGAGGCCTGTACAGGTGCATGAAGGCAGACAGGCAGACCACACCAGCTGGGTCGCCCCATCCCTATTGGAGACAGTTCCTACAGGCTATAGTGACACACTGGATGGGACTCTGGACCATTTTCCCGACAAGCCAAGGGCTGTGTCCTGAAGTAAACATTCCTAATGACCAGTGGTGTCACCAGCCCGACATGATGTCACTAACAGCACAGTCTTTGTCTGTGTCCACAGCCACATCATACAATGAATTTTAACTTATCACAGTGTTCTGACCATTCATCAAGCTGCTGTCCCTGGAGCCCAGGAGCCCGGAGGATTTTGGGGGCAAATATACATGGAACCCCCTAAGTGTCAGGCCCTCAGTCAGGTGTGGGGCCCCAAAGACAAGCAAGACAAGACCCCTGCCCTCCAGGAGTTCAGGACTTTATGGAGGATAGGGGTGAGCACACGAGTAACCACATAGTAGAGTGAGGAAGAGGCAGAGGAAGTTGGGGAGGGGATGGTTTCCCTAAGAGGGGCAGGAGCGAGGGCATGACAGTGACAGTCAGTGCTGTCCTGGACCAGGTGCCCCTGTCTGTGCCCACCTGTGCTTGACCTTAGTCCTCACAGCAGCCCCATGAAGCTGGAATTCTAGGGATATTTGAGCAGGGACTTGAAGGAGAAGCAGGATTGTTCCAGGTGGAGACGGGGGCATTCCAGGCAGAGGCCACCATGTGGACACAGTGGAGGTGGCCAGCCAGCCTTCACACTGACAGCCTAGCCTGGCTAGGCTGTTTACAGGTGAAAACTAGGGTTGACATTAGTGACCATAGGTGGCAGTGAGCCCAGGACAAAGGCATTAGAGTCACAGGAGATAGAGATTCCGAGAAAAGTAGAGAGGAATCTACTTGGGTATGTTTGCAAAATCCTCTGGATTCTTATTTGATGAAATTCAGGGATAGAGCTTAATCCGTATGTTGGGTACAAATTTGCCTCGTAATTTTGGAAGCCCTGGTTTCCTGGGTTAAGCAACATGTCCACAAAGCAGACCTTAAAACTTTCTGAGCCTGCAGGAAGTCAAAGGTGGGTCAGTCTTCTCTGTGTGGTGATCTTGGCCATCAGAGGAACAGCTGTCATAATTGCTCAGATTTGATTGTCTTGATTAAAGACAGCAGCTTCTGTGAAGATTGGAGTTACATGAAAGGGAGGAAATTTAGCAAATTTTTAGCAAAGGGAGGAAATTTACTAAGCGTTAGGGGTGCTCCTTCCACAGAATCCTGTGTGTGGATAGGCTGGTAGACGGACAGACATACGACGTTCTTCATGATCCTCTAAAGGTTGCAGAACCTAGAGGAATGGAGTAACATCTGTGCAAGTTGTCCTAGACTAGGGAAGAGAGAGAGGGTGGCCTCCAGCGGGCTCTGTCCCTTAGAGTAAGTTGACCATGGGTTAGTCGCTTAATCACTCAGCGCCCTACTTACCTGTCTGTAAAGTGGAAACAATAGCATTCAGAGCTTGTGTGCAAAGGGAAGGAGGACAGACGCAGAAGTGCAGTTGGAGGCCCCATGGGGAGGATCAGTGTAGCTGCTGTGAGGTCAGGGCTGGTCCAGCAGAGAGGTACACAGAAGGATCTGAGGCAGTGCATTAAAAAGCACTTCGCATGATTTGCCCAAGTGCATGATCCAGGCTTCTGGCCGGGGACATTTTGAATCAATTTGCATTACCTCCAAAGCACCTCTAATTTCCGGAGTCAAATACAAAATGTGTCACTGCAAACTCCTGCATTTGTATGCAGAGCTTACTGCCTGCCCATGTCTTGTCTGAAAGATTGAACATTGTCCTGATCAATTTAATCACATTTTGGATGAGGAGAGTTACTTTACCCAGGAAGGGACAGAGAGATACGTGGACAGGGAGTCCAGGACGGGCCTGATTTGTTCTGAACAGGCTTTTGCTGTATGTCCTTGGGCCATTTCCCTCCTGGGTACTGTTCCCCTGCTAGAATGTGACCTCCCTGTGGGCAGGTGACAAAGACTTCTTTTGCTCAACCAGACTTTAGTCCTGAATCTTCTAGGCTCGTATGGGCACTTCCATATAAAATCCAGTTTTGGTAAGAGCCCTGCTAAGTTAGTGTAACCAGAACCCTGTATCCTCCATATCTCTGATCGACTTCCATATCTTACCGGATTCTTCATCCCCCACCATCTCCCAGGTGTCTGATCACCTGGGCCTGTCTTCAGCACGAATCCGGTTAGGTTGGTTTAGCCAGAATCCCCGTTTATCGCTGAGGTTTCTTCTTCTTAGTCGTTTTCCATCCGCCGATCCCCTGCCCCCACTCCTTGGTTATAAATTCCCACTTGCCCCTGCTGTATTTGGAATGGAGCCCGATTCTACACCAAGGTCTCTTGTCCTCTAGCGCAATAGTCCTGAATAAAATCTGTTTTTACTGCTTTAACTACTCTCTGGCCCTGGTTTTTCTCTGACACAGGGTTAGGTGTTCAGGTGCCATCACTCACAACAGGGTGGGTGCTTTGGGGCAGCCATCTGAGGCTGGGAGGAAGAGGGCAGGGTCAGGTCCCAGCTGTTTCCTGGGAGAGCAACTGAGACAGTAGATCCCGTCCGACCAGACCTCACCTAGGAAGGGAATGTGAACGGTCTATACTGGTGGAGAGGAGGTGGGTGTTGGGGTTCACCAGCTCTTTCCAGCTGACTTTAGTGGTTTCTATGGTGACTGGAGATGATTAGATTAGGAGTCACCTGCTCCTTCCAGCTTCAGACTCTCATGAGGTCATTCTCAAACCTGCTCTCTGCCTTTCTTCCTTAGCGTCTTTTTTTGGAGCCCCTTCCATCTGTCCTTTAGAGCCGGTCACTAGATCCTGGAAGCTGGTGTTTGCCTTGGTCCTCTGGGAGCATGATCAAGTTGGATCCCGATAAAGCACAGACTTCCAGTTAAATTTGATTCAGATCAGCAATGAATCATTTTTCAGTGTAAGCATATCTCCAAGGTTGTGTGGGAGGGTACATTTATACTAAAAGTGATTCATTATTTATTTGAAATTCAAATTTAACTGGGCATCCCGAATTTCATCTGCTCACACTGGCACACAGCTCAGTCCCCTCACTCACAGAGAATGAGCCATGATGGTGGCTGCACTGAATTGGTGTGTCTTAGGTAAACATCGTCCTTTGAATATGCTGCTGAGTAAGCCCATGATGTTTTCTTTTTCTGACTCTGTTAAGTCTCTAAATTTACATCAGCCTCTAGGAAATGAGCCTCAAACAGGGAACCCCCCAGGCTCCTGTGTTTAACACCCTTCCGGCTAGGGGTGAGGGCATCTGTAGGGGATTTTTTTTTTTTTTAACGTTTATTTATTTTTGAGACAGAGGGAGACAGAGCATGAACGGGGGAGAGGCAGAGAGAGAGGGAGACACAGAATCCGAAACAGGCTCCAGGCTCTGAGCCGTCAGCACAGAGCCCGACGCGGGGCTCAAACTCACGGACCGCGAGATCGTGACCTGAGCTGAAGTCGGACCGACTGAGCCACCCAGGCGCCCCTGTAGGGGATTTTTAAGACACAGACGGGGTTGAGCACTCTCCCTCTTTTGCATACGGTTTCCCAGGTCCCGTGCAGCCCAGACCCGGAGCCCGCATAGGGAACACCTCATCTAGCCTAATGTTCTTGCTTTTCAGGTTAGGAAGCCCAGGCCCAGAATGCAGGCGACTTGCCCAGGTCAGTAGTGACTTTGTGAGCTATGTTTATTTACTACGTATTTATTTATTTGGATTCAGTTTTTATTAATTTAGTTTAAACCAGATCGTAATAAAACAACTCACCGGCCCTGTATATGCTTAAGTTACATTTAAAACAATACAACCTGTGGGGGCACCTGGGTGGCTCAGTCGGTTGAGCATCTGAATCTTGATTTCAGCTCAGGTCATGATCCCAGGATCGTGGGACCAAGCCCTGCGTCGGGCTCCTGGCTGAGTGTGGAGCTGGCTTGGGGTTCTCTCTCTCTCTCTCTCTCTCTCTCTCTCTCTCTCTGCCCCTCCTCCCCCTCAAGTTCTCCCTCTCTGTCTCTCAAATATATATATTTATTATATTTATATATAAATATATTTATTTTATCAAAATTTATTTTTATATATTTATATATTTTTAAATATAAATAAATATATATATACAACCTGTGAACAGGCTAACTGAAAAAAAGATTTGAAACATTTGGGAAAAATTGAACATGGGCTGGACAATGAGTTATTTCTAATTTTATTGGTTATATTAGTTTCTAATTGCTGCTGTAACCAATGACCATAATCATAGTGGTTTAAAACAATACAAATTTATTGTCTTACTGTTCTGGAAGTCAGAAGTCTGAAATTTAGTCACTGGACCAAAATCAAGAACTGTGTTCCTTCTGGAGGTTCTAAGGGAGAATCTGTTTCCTTGTCTTTTCTAGCTCCTAGAGCCTGCCTGCCTTCCTTAGATCCTGGCCCCACCTCACTCTGACTTGTTTTTCTGTAATCACATCTCCTTCTCTGACCCTGACCCTCTTGCCTGAATGATCTAGGACACCCTCCCCGCCACCATCTCAAAAGCCTTAATTTATTTTTTAAAATTTTTACTTATTTATTTTTTAAAGTAAGTTCTAGGCCCAACGCAGGGCTTGAACTCATGACCCCAAGATCGAGAAGCACATGCTCCACCAACTGAGCCAGCCAGGTGCCCCTCAAAAGCCTTAATTCAATCACATCTGCAAAGTCCCTTTTGTCACATGAGAGAACATATTCACAGGTTTGGGCAGTTACGACATGAGCATCTTTAGGGGTCCGTTTTTCTTCCTACCACATTTATGATAGAGGTGTCTGAATTACATTTCTGAAAAAAGTTCTTAGCAATTAGAGACGGGGTAGTCCCAGGTGAAATAATTTGCTTTAAAATGCTCTTGTTAGGGACTGAGTATTTATTCCTGCACCCCCAACCTTTCCATTCATTTGCTGAAGCCTTAATCCCCAATGTGATGGTATTTGGAGATGGGGCCTTTGGGAGATAATTAGGGTGATATTAGGTTAGAGGGTAGAGGCCTCATGATGGGTTAGTGGCCTCATAAGAAGACATTTCTCCTCATGCACACACCAAGGAGAGGCTATGTGAGGACACAGGGAGAGGGTGGCCATCTGCAAGCCAGAAAGAAAGTTCTTACGACGAAACAAACTGGCCAACTCCTTGACTTTGGACTTCCCAGCCTCCAGAACTGTGTGAAATCAATTTCTGTTGTTTTAACTCCCCAGTCTACGGTATTTTGTTATGGCAGCCAGAGAAGACTGAGGCAACTCTAGAAAAAGGAGAAAAGAAAAAAAAATCCCCAAACCAAACAGGAAACAAGAATGGCAGAAATCGCTGGTTGTTGAAGCTAAGTTTTGGAGACGTGGGGCTCTTGTACTGTTTGAAAGATTTTCTGCGCGTTTGAAATTTTCCACAGTAAAAACAAATATGCAAGTTTTAAAAGAAATGTTAGAAGTTTTAATTGAAGTAGAGCTGACATAGACTATTGTGTTAGTTTCAGGTGTACAACATAATCATTCAGTGATTACATACGTCACAAAACGCTCACCTCGGTAAGTATAGTTACCACCCGTCACCATACCAAGTTATTACAGTATTATTGACTGTATTCTTTGCGCTGTACTTTTTATCTCTGTGACTTCATTACTTTACAACTGGAAGTTCATACCTCTGAATCTTCTTCACCTATGTTTTTTTAAAACTTTAAAAAATTTTCTTTATTTTGAGAGAGAGAGAGAGTGCTAGTGGGGAAGGGGCAGAGAGAAGGGGAGAGAGAATCCCAAGCAGGCTCCATGCTCAGTGCAGAGCCTGACTTGGGGCTTGATCCCATGACCGTGAGATCACAACCTGAGCTGATATCAAGAGTCGGACACTTGGGGCATCTGGGTGGCTCAGTTGGCTAAGCGGCCGACTTCGGCTCAGGTCACGATCTCACAATTCGTGGGTTCAAGCCCCACGTTGGGCTCTGTGCTGACAGCTCAGAGCCTGGAGCCTGCTTCGGATTCTGTTTCTCCCTCTCTCTGCCCCACCCCTGCTCTTGCTCTGTCTCTCTCTCCTTCAAAAATAAATAAACATTAAAAAAAAAAAAAAAGGGACACTTAACCAATTGAGCCACCCAGGGGGTCCTTAATCCTCTCCCCTCTGGCAACCACCAGTTTGTTCTCTGTATTTATGAGTCTTAAACATGTAATCTTTATGAAACTAAAACACAAATAGATACGTAAGTCAATGGAAAAGAATAGAATGTCCAGAAATACACCCAAATATTTGTAGGAATCTAGTAAATAAAAGTGTGGCATTTCAAATCAGTAGGGATATCTAAAAAGTATTGGGACAGTTGGTTAGATATGTGGGAAAAATCTGGGTTCTTAACTCTTGCCTTATACCAAAATTAATTCTAATTTGATAAAAGATTTGATTAACTAGAAAAAAATTAAACCATAAGTTTGCTAGAAGTAAACATGTGAAGCCATTTAAAAAATTGTAACGGTGTTGGCGGGGGAAGGGCCTTTCTAAGTATGATACAAAACCTTGCCTGGAGGTAAAAAAAGCATAAATAAAATGAAAGATCGATGCCTCTGAAAAATATTTGCAACTCATGTCACAAAGGGCTAATTTCCTCGGCATGTAAAGAGGTCTCAGCAATCAGTGTGATAGGCATTTCTTCAAAGATAGTCTATAGATGGCTAATAAGAACAGGAAAAGGTGCTCAGCCATGCTTAGCCCTTAAGGAAATGCAAATCAAAACCACAGTGAGGGCGCCTGGGTGGCTCAGTTGGTTAAGCGGTTAAGCGGCTGACTCTTGGTTTTGGCTCAGGTCGTGACCTCACAGTCGAGGGATTGAGCCCCGCGGCAGCCTCTGTGCTGGGCTCCCTGCTGGATATGGAACCTGCTGAAGATTTTCTCTCTCTCCCTCTCCATCTGACCCTCCCCCCACACTCTAAAAAAAAAAAAAAAAAGAGTGGAGCAGGGAGGGGAGATAACAAGTCCTGGAGAGGACTTGGAGAAACTGGGACCCTCATACATTGCTGGTGGGAATGTAAAATGGTACATCTGTTTTGGAAAACAGTTTGACTGTTTCTCAAAATGGTGAACATAAACATAGAGTTACCTTAAGACTAAGCAATCCACTCTGAGGTATTTTTTAGGGGCACCTGGGTGGCTCAGTAGGTTGGGTGGCCGACTTCGGCTCAGGTCATGATCTCGCAGTTCGTGAGTTCGAGCCCCGCGTCGGGCTCTGTGCTGACAGCTCAGAGCCTGGAGCCTGTTTCAGATTCTGTGTCTCCTTCTCGCTGACCCTCCCCTGTTCATGCTCTGTCTCTCTCTGTCTCAAAAATAAATAAAACGTTAAAAATTTTTTTTTCAAAGAGAAATTAAAAGATGCATCCAACCTAGGGTGCCTGGGTGACTCAGTTAGTCTGGCAATCGACTGTTGATTTCAGCTCAGGTCATGATCCCAGGGTCGGGGGATCGAACCCCATATCAGGCTTGCACAGAGCATGGAGACTCCTTGGGATTTTCTCTCTCTCTCTCTCTCTCTCTCTCTCTCTCTCTTTCTTTCTCCCTCCCTCTGCCCCTCTCCCATGCTTGCTCGATCTCTCTCTCTCCATTACCTCTTTCTCTCCCTAAGCAAACATATGTCCACTCCAAAACTGTTACAATAACGTTCATTATTTATAATAGTCACAAAGTGGAAACAACCCAAATGTTCATCAACCGAAGAAAGAGGAATACCAACTGAGGTGTATCCCTGCAATGGAATATCATTCAACAATAAAAGGGAATGAATTTCTGACATCTGCTGCAACATGGGTGAACTTTGAAAACAATATGCTAAGTGAAAGAAGTCAGCCATATGATTCTATACGTGTGAACTAAACATCCAGCATAGGCAAAACTATGTCGAGAATAGATTAGTGGTTGCTTCAGTCCAGCAGGGGTGGTGAGGACTGGAGTTGGGGGGCAGGGACTAATAATGGGTACCCTGGGTTTCTTATTGTGAGGGAGACGAAATGTTCTAAAATCCAACGGTGGTGATGATTGCACAGCCTGCGAAGAGACTAAAACCCCTGAACTGTACAACTTTATGTAGGTGAGCTTTGTGGGATGTGAATTGTTTCTTAATTAAGATGTCAACCAAAATTTAATACAAACAAGACCAGAAACAAAAAGGAAAATGGACGTGAACATAAGCAGACAATCCATGGAAAGGGAAGTGCCTCTTAGACCCATGAAAAGGGGTTCAACTTCACTCATAAGAAGAAAAATATAAATTAAAATGATAATGAGTACCATTTTCACCTATTTGGGAGATTTTTTTAAAATATTTTTTTAAGTTTATTTTTAATTATTTTGAGAAAGATATGGAGAGTGTGTTGGGGAGGGGCAGAGAGAGGGGGAGAGAGAGAATCCCAAACAGGATCCACGCTGTAAGGGCAGAGACAGATGCGGGGCTCGAACTCATGAATTGTGAGATCATGACCTGAGCTGAAACCAAGAGCTGGATGCTTAACCGACTGAGCCACCTAAGCATACCTGGGAGAGTTTTTAAAAAAAATGTTTATTTTTGAGAAATGGTGCACATGCAGGGGTGGGGCAGAGAGAGAGGGGGACAGAGGATCCGAAGCAGGCTCCTTGCTGACAACAGAGAGCCCGATGTGGGGCTCAAACTCGTGAACTGTGAGATCATGACCTGGCTGAAGTTGGACACTTAACTGACTGAGCTACCCAGCCACCCCACGATTGGGAGATTTTAAGCAAAGCGTGACAATGTGAAATTTATTGGCCAGACTGTAGGGAAACACTTTCACGCCAATGATGGAAATAAAGACACACAACCTCTGAGGAAGGCTATTTGGTGACATCTATTACATTTATATAGGCACACCTGTGCCTGCAAGGGACTGCCATGCACCTCTGAAGCCATCTGCCTCTAGGCTTGTCTTACATGAGAGGCCTTCGGTATTAAGCTCCTGTTATGTTGGGTTTTCTGGTGTATGAGACCAAAATGAGTCCTAACTGATAATCCCAGCAATGGTACTTCAAGGAACTTATTCTAAAAGTTGTCCGATATGTGTGTTATAGAAGCTGAGTGGAACCACCTCAATGTCCATCAAAAGGAAAGTAGTGGGATGCCTGGGTGGCTCAGTCGGTTAAGCGTCCGACTTCGGCTCAGGTCATGATCTCGCAGTTCATGAGTTCAAGCCCCGCATCGGGCTCTGTGCTGACAGCTCAGAGCCTGGAGCCTGCTTCCGAATCTGTGTCTCGTTTTCTCTCTGCCCCTCCCCCGCCCACCCTCTGCTCTGTCTCTGTCTCTGTCTCTCTCAAAAATAAATACACATGAAAACATTTAAAAAGTTAATTAAGAAAGTAGTTAAATGAGTGGTGGCACCTTCGTACACCCTCCCCCAGAATGCAGCATGGCTTTACGAGGGAACGAGGATGCTCTTTATGTGCCAGTGTTCGATGACCTCCAAGATGCCTTGTTGAGTGCTCTGTGTCGGAAGTGCGACCGTTTGTGTAAAGAGTGTTAAGAAATACAACCCTGTAAAAGATACAGGACAATTTGTGGACTGATGTGTAGAAACTGATAACACGGGATGCCCCTGTGGCTGGGGGACTGGGGTAAAAGACTCACTTGTCACGACACACCCTTTTGGTACCTTTTGGATTTTATACCATGTACCTTTACCTATTCAAAAGTGGTAAGCAGAACAAAGGACGCAGCACCAGGAAGATGGTACACCCCGGGGATGGGACCGTTCCTTCACACTCGAAACTTCCAGGGGTGTCGGCTGCTTCCATGCCCACGGCTTCCCCAGAATACCAGGGGAGTTGGGAAGCACAGTCTTGCTGGCCGAGAGACTGGCTTCTAACTTGCTGTGTGCCTTTAGGCCGGTCACTTCCCCTCTCTGAACTTCAGCCGACTACCTGACAACTTATGGGCCTCCCAGATCCCGGGCTCCGCACTTGCCGGAGGGCCAATGTGAGGGTCACTGCACTGCCGCTAGATGGCGCGCTGCCCCTGCCGCTGAAAGAGACGCTGTGGCTGAGGCCCACCCAGCTTTTAAAACCAATTGAGTCACCTGAGGGACTTTTTACGTCAAAAAGCAACCTCCCCGTCTTGAGCATCGGAGGGTGAGTGATTCAGAGGGGTGCCGAATGACAAAACAGAGCGGCTGAAGGCTGAGGTGGAGGATACAGTCAAGTGGCCTCAACGTGACTGTATCCTCAGTCAAGGGGGGCAGGGGGGCCTCGCTTGAGAAGGTGGTGGGACCCCAGGCCTGGCTCAAGGTTTCAGGCTCCCTGTCAGTTCAGGGATGCCTTGGCCGGGGGGCAGGGAGCCTTGAAGGGCATGCGCTGTGGAATCAGGGGTGGGCGGTCTGCTGACCTTTCCGAGCCTGTGTTTCTCATCTGTGAAATGAGTGTAATAATCACAGCTACCCTACAGGGTTGATCTGACAAATAAAGTGCTACGTGTGGTTCTCTTTCGTAGTCTCTACCCTTGACTCATCAGAAGGGTCAGTAGGTATAGCTGTCATGTGGATAAAGA